TATAAAAGCAATAAGCCCCGTGAAGCCGTGGTTTACAGTGAATTTATAACAGCTAAGCTAACAACGCCTCTTATCTGTTATAAATTCACTGCAAACCACGGCTTCACGGGGATTATTGCTTTAGTTTGATTAGTAATATGCATTGCTAAGAACTTCATTTGAACAACTTTAAAGATGATTTTCTCAATTTTTAGATTTTTTTTGCACCCTCAGATTCCAGATTGTTTCTACATTAGAAATTTCGCGTGTCGCCGTTGCGGCTAGTTAGGACAAAAACCCCGATTTAACATGGAAAACATAGCTTTTATCGCGCGTCGCGTGTAGTTAGGACACGGAGTCACACTCGCTCTGTTTCCTCAGCTCTCACAGTCTTTCCTGACAAACGGCAGCACTCGTTCCTCCGGCTCCATCCAAACACGAGATACTCGATCCACATTCACGGAGAAACCACATCCGGGAACTTCTCGAAGGCCAGTCTGGACGTCCGCACGCTGCTTCTGGGTAAGATGCGCTGGTGTGTGGAGGAGCAAACCTGCAGAAATTAATGAATTAATGTAATTATAGGAAAATAAATTACTTGATAAAACAAATACAAATTTATTTTGAATTTGAATAATTTTCCCCTGTGTATTTATGATTCAATTAAGTATTTTTTTGTATTTTTATTCTTTAATTAAATAATTAATTAATTAATTTCCATTTATTTTTATTTCCTCATTTTCATGTTGCAGGCAGAAAAGTAAAAATAAATAAATAAATAAATGAATGTACTGTTTAAATAAATAAATATGGAAAAAATTAATTAAAAATTAATGAATAAATAAATAAAACAATAAAATAAATAAATACATTGAAAAAGAATAAAAATAGTTAAAAATACATACAAAAAAATCATGAATTAATGAATGAATAAATAAATAAAACAATAAAATAAATAGATACATTGAAAGAATAAAAAATAGTTTTAAATAAATACAAAAAATGTATAAATAAATAAATTGAAAAAGAATAAAAAATAGTTAAAAATAAATACAGAAAATAATTAATAAAGTAAAAAAGTAATACAAAAATTAATTCAGTGCTAAATTTAATTACAAATTAATCATATTTGCTTTATCAAGTCATTTATTTTCCTATTATTGCATTTATTTTATTTTATTTTTTTCATTTCTCCAGGTTTGGTTCTCCACACTGACCGAGCACAAATGCAACATCAATACAGCAATAAAGCTGTGATATGCATTGAATATAATATTTAAGAGTGTTTGTTAGAGACTAAACACAGCAGAGAGACTATAATCGCTGTATAACGTGATCTCAACTGTCTCATTGCTTTCAGAAAAAAGATACTAATTAACATAAAGGTTACAAAAGAAACAACGGATGAGGATGATGATGATGCTGAAGTGCTTCTTGATTTTCCAGATTATGATGAGATGCTGAGGTTTGCCGTTATATAGTATCAGATCAGCAACTTCTTATTAGTGAGTTTTTAACATTATTTGAATGTTATAACTGCATTTACCCCTTTTTTATTCATTAAAAAAATTTAAATTATTTGAAATTACGCATGGGAAAAAAACCTAAAATATATATTTTTCAATGTTTATGAGAATTTTTTTAATATATCATTGTATGAAATTTATAAGAGCATATAATCTGAGAATTATGTGTATTAACACATTGGAATTAATATAATTTAATTAAATTCCTTTGAATTTACACTGCAGTTCAAAAGTTTGGGATCAGTAAGATTTGTAATGTGTTTTAAAGAAGTCTCTTGTGCTCACCAAGGCTGCATTTATTTGTGACCAAAAATACAGTAAAAATTTGAAATATTATTACTATTTAAAACAGCTGTTTTCTATGTGAATATCTGTTAAACTGTAATTTATTTCTGTGATGCGCAGCTGTATTTTCAGCATCATTACTCCAGTCTTCAGTGTCACATGATCTTCAGAAATCAGTATAATATGCTGATTTAGAAATATAAATCTTTTCTAACAATATAAGTCTTTATTATCACTTTTTATCATTTTAACACATCTTTGCTGAATAAAAGCATTAATTTATTTTGGTAGTGGTAGTGTATATTGTTAGAAAAGATTTCTATTTTGAATAAACGCTGTTCTTTTTAACTTTTTATTCATCAAAGAATCCTGAAAAAAAGTATCACAGTTTCCCAAAAAAAATATGAAGCAGCACAACTGATAATAAATCAGCATATTAGAATGATTACTGAAGATCATGTGACACTGAAGACTGGAGTAATGATGCTGAAAATACAGCTGCGCATCACAGAAATAAATTACAGTTTAACAGATATACACATAGAAAACAGCTGAAATGCAGCTTTGATGAACAGAAGAGACTCCATTAAAAAACATTACAAATCTTACTGATTCCAAACTTTTGAACAGCAGTGTATAACTCATAACTGCTCAAAAACAGTCCAAATTTACGAAACCTACATATTTATTTATATATATTACTCTGAAAAATACATTCATTTTACTTGCATAAAAATTCACTTTCAGATGAAGAAAAGTGATGAATATATTATGCTGCAATGGTTCGTCAATAGACGTAATTATTCATGTTTATCACCCAAATTCAAGTGTGTGAGATATGGGGAAAAGGCGAAAAAATATTGTATAAAAGTGTATTAACACTAATATAATTTGATAGATATTTAGTAGATTTTGACACCAAATGATACTCAAAAATGACCCGAAAGTATTTTTAACCCCTTAAGTGCCACCGGCCCACAGGTGGGCCCAATGGCGCTCTTGTTTTGTTGTCTTTTTTCTCTATCACATATTTTAGTAATCATCATAAATTATATTTCATTTGAAAGCTTAAAGCCTCAGAATTCACCATTTTTAAATCGGACATTGCGTTACCATGGAAATGGTACTTTAAAATCTTTTAGCGGTCTCCTCCCCCTTAGTGGGTGGAGTCAAGTGTCATATTACAAAATGCATTACGGTCTTTTAGAATTTTGACAAAATAGATATATTTGGAAAGGTCTGAGTCTCAAGATTCCATATTTGGTCGTTATTTTTTGATAGAAGTAATATTGACAGAGAAATTTAGACATTTATTAAATTCTACAGAGTTTGGGTGTCACCCGGTGGCTGTTTGTGGTATAACGCCCTAAATAAAATCTCAATTTTTTTTTATATCAACTTCAAATTTGGAACATACCTTATTTAGACATAAGGCTTTAATTTTATACCAATTTTAGAGTAAAACCTGATGTGTAAAATATTTATTATATATAAAATAAAATTAGTGCATTTTCTTTACAGTAAATTTAAACTTCTATAACTTTTTGATACTTCAATATTTTGAAATGATTCTACTTCTGCAGTAATCTGCAGATTGTCTTCTTAAAAAGGAGTCCAACCTTAGGTCTGTATTCCAAAGTTTTCATGAATTATAATAATTATAATAATGATAGTGCACTTTCACGTCTATGTTCAAAAATGGTGGGTGGGCTTTAAGGGGTTAATTCAGTTAATTCATCTTTCTTGCTCAATGCAAACAGGGCAGCGGCTCGATCTGCACGCTGAAGCTG